GAGGTGGGAACAGAAATCTGGGAGGAGTAATTAAGTCTCCAGGTGGGTTTGTCAAAGGCTGGCAAGTACAAAGTGAAATGATAATTGAATTAAGTGGTGTATCCATGTTTTGCTAAACATACTTAGCTGATGAAGAAAAGGAAAGTCAAACCTTTGGGAAGTAATTTGGCCATATGCATTCAGGGCAATACAAACTTTCATATTGCTTGTTTCTCAATAATGACATCTCTAAAAATTCATCGTGTGGAAATAATCAAAAAAAGGAAAAACTACACATAAGATGTTAATCACATTATTTTTTAAACAGCTGTATTAAGATATAATTCACCCTTTTAAAATGTACAGTGTGTTTTTTTTAGAATTATTCACAGAAGTATGCAAGCATCACCACTATCTAATTTTAGAACATTTTCATCACCCCAAAAAGAAATTCATTAGCAATTACTCCCCATTCCTCCCTTCTCTTCCCCACCCCTAGCAACCTCCAATTCACTGTCTGTTTCTTGCACCATTATCTTTAATGACCAAAAATATTGAATAAAATAAGTTCAGTGTTATTGAGTAACATATCATAAGGGTATATTAATCAAATTATGGCATATCCATCCAATGACTTTTTTTTTTTTTTTGAGTCGGAGTCTCACTCTGTTGCCCAGGCTGGAGTGCAGTGGCATGCTCACTGCCACCATAGCCTCAACCTGCTGGGCTCAGGCGATCCTTCCGTCTCAGCCTTCCAAGTAGCTGGAGTCACAGGCATGTGCCACCATGCCTGGCTAATTTTTCTTGATTTATTGTAGAGATAAGTTATTGGCATGTTGCCCAGGCTGGTCTTGAACCTGTGGGCTCAGGCAATCCTCTCACCTTGGCCTCCTAAAGTGCTGGGAGTTTAGGCATAAGCCACCGCGCCCAGCCCATCCAATGAAATATTATGTGGCTATTAGAAATCACTACAATAAAGTCTGTATTGGCAGGTGAAATATATACAATATAAAGTCTAAGACTTTTTATGGATATGAAGTGAATCTACTATGGTCTCAACTGGAGTATATTCTGGCTTGTATGTGGACAGTCTGGAAGAAATATGTGAAAATTGTAAGTGGTCATGTTAGAATAATATCATTTATTCTTTAGCTTTTAAATTTTTTGTAACTTTTTTTAACAAATGTAATTTTCAGAAAATCAATTTTAAATTATTTACTAGAAAATATACAAGAGGGTACAGTCAGTCAGCAGTCTAGCCTCTCAGATTTGGATCAAGTTCATATTCAACTAACAAATCTATTGCACTATTTTTTTGGCAACCAAGAGCTTTAAGCTACAAAGGTCCAATCTCTACAGACCACATAACCCCTCACACTGTAGACATTCATGCCCACATCCTTTGGCTCCTTGCCTCCTTGTTTATACCTCTCCACCCCCAGAACTCACTTCTTTTTTTTTTTTGAATTGGAGTCTCACTCTCCCGCCCAGATGAGTGCAGTGGCCGCTCCCGGCCACCGCAGCCTCGACCTGCTGGGCTCCAGCGATCCTTCCGCTTCAACCTTCCAAGTAGCCAGAACTACAGGCGCGCGCTACCACGCCCGGCTAATTTTTGACTTATTGTAGAGATGAGGTCTCGCCTAGCTGCCCAGGCGGGTCTCGAACCCACGGGTTCAGACAATCCACTCACCTCAGCCTCCCAAAACGCTGGGATTACAGGTTGAGCCACCGAAACCGGCTCAGAGCTCACTTCTTTAAAAAGCCCCTTTACTTATTACCATACACATCAACCATGCTTGGCCAATTTCCTTCTATTCATATTTTTTTTGAGTTGGAGTCTCACTCTGTCGCCCAGACTGGAGTCCAGTGGCCGCTCCTGGCCACCACAGCCT